CTTCTTTGCTTCCTCTACATAAATAATAACTAACAATTTTACATGACTAACCATCATCAACACCCTTTCCCATACATTATTTCATTTAATTTCCTCTGCCCGGCCGGGCTCGGTGGCTCAGCCTATAATCCTGCGCTTTGGGAGGCTGAGGTGAGTGGATTGCCTGAGCCTGCGGGTTCGAGACCCGCTTGAAAAACTTGTCAAGACCTCATCTCTACAATAAATCAAAAATTAGCCAGGCGTGGTAGTGCGCGCCTGTAGTTACAGCAACTTGGAAGACTGAGGCGGAAGGAGCGTCGGAGCCCAGCAGGTCGAGGCTGCGGTGGCCAGGAGCGGCCACTGCACTCCAGTCTGGGAGACAGAGTGAGACTCCAACTCAAAAAAAATCAATAAATAAATACATTTCCTGCCCTTGTAAAGCAGTATTGTTATCCCCATTGTTTAGATAAGAGAGCCGAAACTTAGAGAGGCTTCAAAGCATGTCATCATCCACATTCACACTGCCAGTAGGCAATCAAATCAGGTCTAGGACCCAGGTCTTCCTGCTCTAAATCCCGTGTTCTCCTGTATACTGGGTTCTCTCCTGCCAATCTGCATTTTCTGATTTGTGTAAGTCTATCCAAGTTCAGATGCTGCCATAAACCAGCCTCTGCCTTCTGCCCTTGAGGAAGCTATTTCACCTCTTTGAACATCTGTAGCAAGGGCATAAAACCTCCATGCTATCTACTCTCACAGTAGATAAGGAGGAATAAATTGTAGTGCATGATACAAATTCAAGAAATAATTGCTCACTGGTTTTCCTTCCACCGAACAATGCCTTGATCTGCAACTTTCAAACATTTACCAACTGAAGTAAATTTCAAATTTTGAATTATAATTCCTCATCTTGGAGTCATCTTACTTCCATCCACTTCACCAATACAGCAAGGAAGACATAAGTGCTTTGAGTGGATGTCAAATCCTGGCTTTGCTCTTAATAAATGTGTGTATTTGGTCAAGTGACTTAAGCCCTTGCATCTCAGATTCCTCCTTTATAATATACACACCCTTGAGTTGGAGTGAATTAAATGCAATGCATTTATGCAACTCATTTAGGAGAGTTTGTCATAGGGCAGGCCTTCATAAGTATTAGTTTATTTTTCCTGATATGGCATAAGGCAGACAAGAACCCTGTCTTCAATCTTAAGTGTCTCTAAAACTCTTCTTTAGCTTGTAAGGTTTTAACTCGTTAATAACTCACCCCACTTCTGGGTTGTGATGATGGTATGCCAGTAGATCTCATTACTAAAATGGCCATAAACCACAAAAAGCCATCGTTAGACAAAATGTTACAAGAAACATGAAATAAGGGGGTAAAAAGTTAAGTTACATCCTGTCAAAACCTATATTCATAAACTTGGTAGTTTTCACTAGCTGACTTTCATAAATAAATCAACATTTTTTAAAAGTTTGATTTATTTTGAGATATATACAAAGTCAGGATAGGCACCGTGGGAAAAAAATTCAAGAATTCTAGAATTCAAAAATTTAAAATGTTTCCCTCCTTTTTAAAGAGTTCATCCAGGCAACAATCTAGGAATAGCCATCTAGGAAACACAAACTCCAGAGAAATAGGGTCAGAGTTCCAAAGTTAAAAGCCAAGATTTCATTTTATGGGCAGAAAAAAAGAAATGCAGTAAGATTACAACATTTTTTATACAGGGCTGATTTATGAGTTATAACAATTTAATTAGTTATAGCTTGTTTTCTTTTCCTTATAGCTCTTTAAAATTTCCTTTCCAATTTAAGAGAGTATATTTAACATTCCATCATGAAGTCTGTGTGAGAAAGGTAAGAGGGAAGGTAATCTAAAATGAAGATCAAAGATCTAAATTTTAATTCTATTTCCATTATGTAAATGATGTTAGGGACGTTTGTGAATAAGTCAACATTTTTTAAAGGTCTGATTTATTTTGAGACATACAGAGTCAGGATGGAATCATGGAAAAAACCCTAGAATTCAAAGATCTAAATTTTCCTCCCCATTTAAAAGAGTCTATTCAAGCAACACTATCCCCCCTAGTTGAACCTGTCACCTCATTCTTAAAAGGTAAACACCAACAATTATTTGGCCAGTCTGAAATGGTAGCGGTGAGCAACAAATGAGGCAGGTATTTGGAAGAGATTGCTACAGAATAGCAGGCTAGTCTAATGCGTCATTAATCAAGCATTAGGAAGTTTGGATGAGAAATCAAAACCCGAAATTGTGAGTTCTAGTATTGGACTGTTCCACCTTTGTAGGTTTGTATCTGTTACGATGCATGTGCTTATACACAAAAGCATTAAAAACTCACCATGGGGAAAAACAGATCCTAGACTTCAACTGGTGAGAAGAACCATCATGATACTGAGTTCAGCTCCTGGTTGGCAGAGAAGGAAAAGATCCTCCCGCATTTGGTAAGCAGAGGCCAGTGGCAGAACCTGACGTAGGTCTCGCACGTCAGCATGGCTCTAGGACTCAAACAGCCTAAGAACTGTACGGCAATGGACTGGGTAATGTGAACCATCAGCTTGCGGGAAAACGTAAAAGAAGGATGAATCACCACTATTTAACCATAAAACGTGTGAGTTTCAAATTAATGACACCTATTTTAAACCAATGAGCGAAGCATCATGATGATGATCTCCCACCCCAGGATTTCCAGGGAAGGGCATCTCACTTGGGTATTCAATTCTAGTAGCAAAGGGAAGATGAAAACGGTGCAAGGGCAAACCCTTGAGAATTTCCTACATGTTTTCATCTAATTCTACAGAGCGATCTAATTCAGAAATTATTTCCTTCAAGTATTTTGTCTCTTGGCATACCCAGAGTTTTTCAAGATTTCGGCCTGCTTGCTCTTTCTGTATATGTCTTCTTCCTGTGTTGGTTATGTGTAGTACACACATTCCAAAACCCAAAAGCACACAGGCTTTACTTTTTGTCATTCCCTCTAGCAACGATCTGCTATTACAATAAACTGCATTTCTATACTGTATGCCTTGGGCATTATGCAACACCCAAAAGGAAGAACTAAGAAAGGAGTGTTTGCTCCAAGCATAACAACTATTATTACTATGCAGCTAGTTTTAAAAACTTCTTGCAATTGTGTGACTTGTGCACATGGTGCTGTTTTGAGTGACACCTCTGTGGGTTTGGTGTTTTCTCTGTCTCAGGGACCAGATCCATCCATTACAAATTAGAACTCATTTTGCACTTTTTCTGGAAAAACGCATTTGCCTTCTCAAGAAGTTACTCTGCTGTGTCTGAAAATAATATGATAACTTTAATAGCTTTATGTCATTGTTTAGAAAGTTTTCAGAAAAGACAACACACAGGATATGGAAGACGGCTCATCAGTTAAACATTTCCCATGTTCATCATATTTACTAATTTCCCTTTTCTGTTTCAGCTGCTTGTTCAGAAAAAAATTTCATTCCTAGACTCACTCTGTCCCAGTCCAAAGAGATTTATATTCTCTCTTTGCCCTGGAATCCTGTTCACTATTTATAATTATCACATTATTCTGAATTATAGTATTTACTATTTCATCTCTTCCTTTATGTTTTAATAAGCCACTTCAAATCACTGATCCTTTGGCCAGTTACACTGGAGATATACTGTCAAAAACAGATAATAAAAATTGTAAATGTAAATAATACCTAAACAACCCAAAAAAGCCATAGCCAAGACAGATTGTCATGTAATTAACTTAGTGTTAGCCTAAAGAAATACATCCAATGCATGTTCATGTAGCCCATGTGCAACCTTTAAGAACACAGTGATTATTATTAAAGACATTATTCTCAAGTAGCAATATTCATAGTTAACACCATGGACACTGGAACTAGATGGCCTCGATTCAAAACCAGGCGTGGCCGCTTACTAACTGTTGACCTTGGGTAAGCAACTTAAACTCCTTGTGTCTTGGTTTCTTGTTATAAGATAGGGACACATACTAGTACCCAATTCACAGGGTTATATGAGGATGGATGTGAAGACTGAATTAATTAACACATATTATAATGGTGCTCAACACGGGGAGTGCTGATGTTACCTTTGTATCTACAATGGGGTTTCTATGAAAATCGTAACCCATTTTACTTATTTATTTATTTAGTAGGAGCCTCGCTCTGTTATTTCATTTATTTATTTATTTATTGAGTAGGAGTCTCACTCTGTTATCCAGGTTACAGTGCAGTGGCACGCTCACGGCCACAGCAGCCTCAACCTGCTAGACTCAAGTGATCCTTCTGCCCCAGCCTTCCAAGTAACTGGAATTACAGGCGCATGCCACCATGCTCGGTTAATTTTTATATTTATTGTAGAGACGAGGTCTTGCCAAGTTGCCCAGGCTGGTCTTGAACCCCTGGACTCGGGTAATCCTCTCGCCTCATTCCCCTAGGTGATGGGATTACAGGTGTGAGCCACCATATCCGGCCTCATCTTACATGTTAAACTTGTGAACCTTCTGTTAGCCACCTGTGGTGTGACAGAGCTGTATATACAAAGTAGACTCCAAATACCGAAGAAGCTGAGAAGCCAAGGAAGGCACAGATAAATCTAGCTCATTGGTGTGAGATGATTTATTGGGGAAACTTATAAACAGACGCATGATCCTGAGTGGCTGCAAGACAGGAAGGTCTCTGCACTGCAATCCCCCAGACCCAAGACTTATATCTTGGGGAAAGAGCATACGGGCAGTGGAAGGGATGTGTAGGCCACTGCTGGCATCACAGCCTCTGGTTTCCGCAACTACAAGGATTGTTTTGGAGGAAACTTACAATGACTAGGGGTTCTTACAGAAAGAGTAATACATTAACTCAACATTTTGGAGGCTTTCCTGGACTTGGGGTTAGTCAAAAGTTATACATGGTGGATTAGCATTGAAAATAAAGTCATTCTTGTCCCGCAAACCACCAGGGGTCTTAAACCCCACTTGTAAATATCATCTCTGCCATGACACATACAGTTATTTACTCACCTCTGCTTGAGACGCAGGCTGCCAAAATGATTGATGATGCATTTCTGGATAATGGATTTTTGACAATACACTTTACTTCCTGTCTAAGATCAGTTCCTATCTTAAAAGATATTTCAGCTATGGAGATATTTTTACACTGTTCTGAAGAACAATCCCATGAGTACGTTATGAGTTGTGGATGGCGGTTGTGATGCTCCAGAGTGCTGCAGCGGATTGTAATGTTTCCATTAGCCGATGTGCAATTGAGTGTAGGAGGTGGAAGAGGCTCTGGGGGAAGAAAAGTGATATATTTAGCATAGAAAAAGAATATTGAGACTTCATCTGCAAATGTATGAAGAGCCCCTGACTTCCTGATGAGTTTGAGAAGGCGGGCAGAACACCTTCTTGAACATCCAGGGGAGCAAATTCTCTCTTCTGCTGGGTCAGACTTCCCAGTCGGCCCCGAATCCCTGTCCTCAATTCTGAAATCAAAAAGGTTCTGAAGGCCGAAAGATTTTTCCCAAGTTGGTAGCAAAGTCATTTAGCTGAAAATCCTGATCTGAATTAACGAGGATTTACAGTCTTTATTTTCTCACTTCAAATATTCATTATTATGATTTTTATGTTTCGCCACAAAAAAATTCTTGTGCTTGACCATAGGGTGTTCCCTGTAACTAAGATGGGTACTTAATATGGAAGGAAGAAACATGCTGGACTACCTTTTCAACATGTAAAAAAAAATTAATTCCATGACATATCTGACTCAAAGGTTTTGTAAAATGTTCTGTGGAGCTACACAGAGCCCCGCAGGACGCTGCCCAGTGGCTAAGCTGGCCCTGCTGACAGGGGTGTGGCATGTGACAAAGATCTGCCAGTGCAGAGGCCTCACACTCAGCCTTCCTCTAGGAAGCACCTCCTACCAGCTAAGGCAGCCTGGACCTACAGGGACAGGTTAGCACGTTCATAGGTCACATTACGCCATGGTTAACCTCTAAAACCTCTGTGTTAAGTAGTTTGTCCTATTAGTCATTTATTTGTTAATTCATATTCCTTCTTGCATTTCAACTTTCCACCATCAATGAATCAAAGAGACTTGAGGAAGCATGCAAAAATATAAACAATAGACTGCAATGGTCATGGCAGCATTTGGATAATAAAGCATTAATACGTTATAAACATCTACTAAAAAGGATATAAAGGTAAATTAAGGATCACGAACATAGTGGAATAGTACATTGTCATTTAAAATGGTGTTTTCTCCAAGAGAATCTGTCAAGGACCTACTTTCACTGATAAAGGACTCTGGCAAAGTCTCGGGGGTACAAAATAAATGTGCAAAAGACAGATACATTCTTATACACCAACAACAAGCGGGTAGAGACCCAAATAAAAAGCACAGTTCCATTCACAATAGCCACACACACAAAAAAGAAATACCTTGGCATCTTCCTAACCAGAGAAGTGAAAGACCTTTACAACGAGAACTACAAAACACTGCTCAAAGAAATCCAAGAAGACACAAATAAATGGAAAAATATTCCATGCTCATGGACAGGAAGAATCAACACTGTTAATTACCAAAGGCAATTTACAGATTCGATGCAATACCCATTAAATTACCAGCAACATTCTTCTCAGACCTGGAAATGACAATACAGAAATTCATATGGAAACATATACGACTACAAAGAGCCAAAACAATCCTCAGCAAAAGAAACAAGGCAGAAGGTTCCAAACTTTCAGACTTTAAATTTTACTATAAGGCTACAATAATCAGCCTAGTATGGGTACAAGAATAGGCATATAGACCAATGGAACAGGATAGAGATTCTGGAAGCAAAACCTCAATTTCTCAACCAACTCATCTTTGACAAAGCCTCCACCAACAACCACTGGAAAGAGGAGAATCTACTTAGTAAATGGTGCTGGGAAAACTGGCTGACCACAGGCAGAAGATTGAAGCAGGACCCCTACTCATCATCATACACACAAATCAACTCTAAATGGATTAAAGACCTAAGTGTAAAACCTCAAACTATAAGAACCTTAGAAAACGCAGGGGACACCCTTATGGGAATTGGAACTAGCAACCAATTTCTGATCGAAACACCAAGTATCCAGCTAAGATGGACAAGAGGAACCTCACCAAACTGAAAAGCTTCTGCAAAGCAAAAGAAACACAGACTGGGAAAAAATATTTGCCAACTGTATATCCTACAAAGGTCTAACATCCAGGATTTATAAGGAACTCAAATGCACCAAAAGGAAAAACACAAACAGCCTCATCAAAATGTGGGCAAAAGACATAAACAAACACTTCTTAAAAGAAGATAGATGGGCAGCCAACAGACACATGAAAAAGTGCTCAGCCTCACTAATCACCAGAGAAATGCAAATCAAAACCACACTGAGATACCACCTAACCCCTGTAAGAATGGCCATCATTAACAAAACGAACAACAACAGATTCTGGCTAGGATGTGGAGAAAAAGGAACACTTCTACACTGCTGGTGGCAATGCAAACTAGTGAAACCTCTTTGGGAAACAGTGTGGCAATTTCTAAAAGAACTATACATTGCCTTTCCATATGACCCAGCAATCCCCCTACTGAGAATATACCTGGAGGAACTCAAATCATTCTACAAAAAAGATACCTGCATATGCATGTTTATTGCAGCACTATTCACAATAGCAAAAACATGGAACCAACCGTGTCGCCCATTGAAACTGGACTGGATTAAAAAAATGTGGTACATATATACAATGGAATATTACACAGCCATAAAGAAGGACAAACATATGGAATTAGCAGCAACTTGGGTGGATTTACAGTCGATCATACGCAGTGATCTATATCACAGAAACAAAGAACAGAGTACCATATGTTCTCACTCACAAGCGGACCCTAAATATCTATCATAATACTATAAGAAAGGGATTGGCAGTAGAGGGATACTGCTGCAGTCGGGGGAGGGAGGGGACACAACATGAATAAGGGTATCTTATTTCAAACCAGGCAAATTGGGGACCAAAGGGAGGCCCAAACTTTACCTGTACAATGGCCACCTGTACACCTAATGCTGAATTGTACCCCACATCTTTAAAATAATAATAATAGTAATAATAATAAAGAAATGTTGAAGTTCCAATTTTTTTTTTACTTTCTTATTTTTATTTTTGAGTAAGAGTATCATTCTGTCACCAAGGTTGGAATGCAGTGGCACACACATGGCCACCGCAGCCTTGACCTGCTGAGTTCAGGCGATCCTTCCACCTCAGCCTTCCAAGTAGCTAGAACCACAGGCAGGCACCACCATGTCCAACTAATTCTCTGACTTACTGTAGAGATGAGGTCTCCCCAAGTTGCCCAAGCTGGTCTCGAACCCCTGGGCTCGGCCTCCCAAAGTGCTGGGGTTACAGGCATGAGCCTCCACACCCAGCCTAAAATTTTTTAAAAGGTGTTTATATCATCTTCCCATCCATATTCCCCTCCTCTTGAATTCTTTCTTGCTCAATAAAATAATGTCATCCGCCCGCCTAGTTAGAGACCAGATTCACACACTGACTTCCCTTCCTACCTGGGGATTCCTCAGTTTTTAAGTTTAATCTAGCTCACATAACTCCTTATATGCTGCCTTAAGGTTTTCTTGAACTAAAACAACTTTCACTTATTTTTTTAAGCAATAGAAATCTTTATCCAAATTAAATCTTTCTTTTTTTTTGAGTTGGAGTCTCACTCGGTCGCCCAGACTGGAGCACAGTGGCCGCTCCCGGCCACCGCAGCCTCGACCTGCTGGGCTCCGGCGATCCTTCCGCCTCAGCTTTCCAAGTAGCCAGAATTACAGGTGCGTGCTACCATGCCCAGCTAATTTTTAAATTTTTATTGTAGAGATGAGGTCTCGCCAAGTT